CATTTACATAAAAGCCAGGCCTGGTGGTGTGCATAAATGACCTGTGCACTAGCGGGTCAGGGGACTGAGATGTGTGGAACCCTGGTATGTCCTGACCATCTAGTCTACCCAGTTAGTAGGCTTCAAGTTCAGTCCCGGTCTCCAAAGATAAGGTGGAGACTCAATTGAAGAAGACAGCTAATATCAATCTCTGGCCTGCATGCACCTACATGCATGTTCACACTCTTGGACACACAGGCATGTGTACCTACATGCATTAGTACACAACTGCATGCGCAAAAACACACACCCATATATTTACATCACACTCACAAACAAACTTTACATAAAATCTAATAAGGTCTTTTACTGAAAAAGAATCATTAAGCCCTGTGCCTTAATGGAGACAACTGGCTGTATCCCAATACTCACACTGATCTGTCTTGTTATTGGTTGATCAACTATTTACTTTCAAAGGCCATGGTAGAATGACAAAGGGCAGACAACTGAAAAATATGCTGTTCTATGTTATTTATACTGTTCACACATATAAGCCCTTGGTTCTTGTTTAGAGAAACAATTATTCTATGGCATTTCGTTTTAATTTACTCTACAGTGGCCTTTAAACTTCCCAATACATTATGTTAAAAGAGAACTTTTAAACCCAGTCAATTTTGTTGAGCTATTAAAGATTGGATATGCATGCCTATTAATCAAATGTAAATTTAGATTTCTGAAAAAAAATGCACCAAGAAAAGGTAGCTTTTAGCTAACAATGGATATTCTAGAATTGGAAATAGAAGTCTCATTCCTATACTCTATTTTTAAAAAATAAAAATAAAAACTCCCCAAATTGTAGAACCAACAAACAACTAGACAACTAATTATATACATTTTGTAAAACTGAGTTTTGATGAGGAACATTTTGGCTAGAGAAGGTATCTCATAGCTCAAGGAAATTATACAAATTGATTTTTAAGTAAGTAAACTCATATTGAAAGTGGTTTAAAGGAGGGAGACCTTCAGTGGCTCTCATTCTTGACTTCATCTCAGTGGATGAAGTTCCTACTGGAACTACTGGAACTCCTGCCTTTTTGATCATTTGATCTATGTATCTTCTGATAGGCATGGAGAGTGATGGTTGCTATGCTAATCATTGCCTGTAATACACAGTCACCACGAAGAGATTCTGACTGAGAAGGAGGCACCCAGATTTCTTGCTACCTTTCCCACATGAAGAGGGGATCTAAAAATCTCCCATGTCAATCAAACACATCATCTTGTCATGAACATACCACTGAAAGTAATGCAGACCAAGTTCAGCATGCGACAGAAACAGGTCCCAGGAATCACTATGAACTAACAATACAATCAAGTCCCAGGCATACCACTATGAGCTGACAATGCAACAAGCCTTAGGTATTTAATGACCCTGGCCTGCTGGGAATTATATTGCAGTGACACAGCACCACGAGGCATGGCATTGATCCCCCTTGCAGCTGTGTGACTGACTGACTGGGAACTGCAGGTCACTGCCGCTACCAGCATCACAGAGAATAACCTGTGATCGCTTTGACAAACTTTTGAGAATGCCTACAAAGTGGCTGGAATGATCCAAAGATAAATAAGATGCAACTGTTGATAAATTAAAATTACAAGTGCAGCAAGTAAAAAAATAAAACGAAAACCAAGCAAACAATAACAATTAAAACACCGGGAAGCTTAGTGGGTAACACTGCTTCTGCTAAGTCTAAGACCAGAGTTTGATCTTGAGTACCCACACGGTAGAAGGAGAGATTCTTCTCCTAAGTTTCCCTTTGACCTCCATAAACATACCAAGACACATATGCACATTTGTACATGTGTACACACAGAGAGAGACACATATACACACACACACCACACACGCATGTGCACACACACACACACACACACACACATGCAAGCAAGCAAGCAAGCAAGTTAACTAAAACCTTAAGGCATCATTAAATCCAGTGTGGTATTCTAAAATATTGGTCACGTTCTTAAATAGTTTTGCTCTCCACACCTACCTACGATCGCTCAATGACAAGCTATACAGACCTAAACGGAAGGAATTGTATAACTTCCTGAAGGTGTCTGATAATCATTCAAAGTCAGTGACTGGAGGCGGGACTTCACAGACCGTGGAGCAAAGAGGTTAAAAAAAGGCTTTATTGCCATGAATGATAACCTACTTCAATGGCCAAAAATGACCATTTCAAAGTTCTGGTGATCAATTAAAATCAACCAACAGCGTGAGACGTTCTTATTCCTGAGACACTGCTGTCTGTGTGGGGAGAACAGGTGTCCTCTGTGGGTCATTGCTGTTCTGTCACCTGCATACCTCTGCATATTATAGTAGTTTATACTGGGTGAGACACCACACACACTCAGCGTCTACATACATTGATGAACATGGCAGAACATGTGGAAATGATTCTGCCATTACATTTGACTCTTTATTGGCCAATGGGAACAAAGCACTCTAGTTTTGTGCATAACCTTGAAGTTCTAAAAGAACATGATTTTTTGCATGATATCTATTTCAACTAATGAAGTTGAGTGATTAACGTATGATCAATTAATTTCAGGGGACACCAGTGCAAACATGAATGTGATTAGAGACCTATCCCTGGCTGGACTAATGCGTCCTGAGTGCTCAACGGCCAACACTCTAGACATCCGGTTTATTGTCTGTTAGGAGAAATTTTCAAGATGACTGTATGAGATCAAAGATCATGACTCTTTATAAGGACACACTGTACTAGATCTTTAAGCACCAGCAGTGTTCAGAGGGATGTCAGAGGCGTCTTTTGATACATGTTTTATTTTCATAGTTAGCATCTGTAAACACACACACACCTTTTTAATGACTCATTGTTCTGAATGTGTAAAACACATGATTTAATATGTGGTACTGGAGTTAAAGCTAAATCCCAACATTTCCAAACATAAAGCTACAAAGGTTATACTTAGATTTTACTTAAACTGAAATATCAGAATACCAACTTCATAAGCTTTGATGTTTAGTTTTTATTTAATAACTTACATTGTTAGTCCTTATTTCCATCACTCACTCTGCATTGTTCAAAGGCACTCCCAAGAAGTGATTACTCTTACCGTGACTGTTGTACAGATGAGGACAGTGAGGCAAGAGGCTGACTAACTTCCCTGAGCCACAGAGGAGCATTGATTTGAACTTGTTCCTGGGTAGTGTGTGATGAAACATGAATCCTAACTTAGTCCAACTGACTCCAAACCCTGCCCTGACTTCCTTTGCCGTCTCCTGACCTCCTGTGCTGCCCTCTGACCTCCGTGCTGCCCTCTGACCTCCCATGCTGCCCTCTGACCTCCGTGCTGCCCTCTGACCTCCCGTGCTGCCCTCTGACCTCCGTGCTGCCCTCTGACCTCCCATGCTACTCTCTGAGCCATGTACTGTACTGATAGAGTGTATGCTTCTATGAGCTTGTCTTACAAAGCCAAATTCCAAAGAGCGAAATAGCAGTTACATATTTTCTTTAATCAACATGCCTTACGTTTTTGAAGTATGTGTACACCTACACTCATTTCCAAAGAAACCCTTACACTCTAAAATAACTGCTTTATGTATAACCTAAGGGATAGATTTGACTGATTTGAAAGCTAGCACAAAAAAATTAACATAAAAGTATCAGAATAATAGAGACATGAAATTTAAAAGACATATTTGATTTAGGTTAAATCTCTAGCAGCTGGATTTAAAAAAAAATTCCAAATCATCAAGTCCCATAAATGTCACATCATGAGCAAATAAGCTTCATATACAAGACCAATTATGTACAAACCTATGTAATACAAAAATATGCATTTCTAGGATTCAGCATGTATAGGAACACATGCCTTTCATTTACCTGTTTGAAGAATTTCTTTCTAACTTAGAGATTTTTCCTTCCAATCTTAAACAAATAAATGTCAGTTCTATCCTCCAGATATCTGATGGTTAAGTCCCGCTGGTTCTGTGGTGGCCCTGGCCTATTTGCTGTGCTCCTCCTAGCTGGGCATCCGTAGTGACATCTCTGCTCCCTTTCTGCAGTTAGAGTCTATTGTCACAGTCAGTATTTTCCCCATTAGTACTGAAAGATTATTTTTGAAAGAAATTTATAGCAATAAAATAAATTTTATATGGCTGAGATGTTCATGCCAGGCTCCTAAACCATCCTCAAATGGTTCTCAAACTTGATGACAGGACTTTACTGAACAATGAAAATGCAGGAGACAAGAAAAGGTGTAAAACAGAAGACGTCGGAAGCCTCTTGTTAGTGGAAAATGCAGGCATTGCAGCAATGCAAGCATGCATCTGTATCTCCACTGGGAGACCCAGAACCGAAAAGAAAGCACAGCTAATGGAAAGACAGACAGGAAGCAGCAGGAAGCAGCCCTCAGTGGGGCCCACAAACCTCTTCTACACTGATCTCTGTCACTTTTATATTAACACATATCCTTGCTGATAAACATTTGGAATGAGACTCCTTTCCATTATGGCTTCTTTCAAGTTCAGATTTAATTACTGTGGAAATTAATCAAGATATGACTTGGGGCACAGTATTTTAAATGTCAGCAGAGTTGCAATATCATATCTCTGAAGTATCAGAGTAACTCTGCCTTTTTCATGAAGAATGCCACCAGTGCAGACTGCGCCAGCAATGGGTAGACTATCTCTTAGTTTCAGACTAGAGAGATTTTGTCTTTTGACCGGTTGTTAATTTGTACATACTCAAACATGTCAAGAAAATGTACTCCTATGGGCACCTTAGCTGCATAGAGCCATTTAACTCAAGAGGTGAAACTATGCAAGCTTGTATTTCCTTTTATTGCCCAAAATGAATAGAGGGAATGCTTCAAATTTAAAATGTGGAAATACAAAGAAATCCTTCAGTGTCTTGTCTTCTAAGGAGGTATGTGTTTTAAAATTTAGCCAATGTGACCCTAACATGAAAGCAGTTGTAAAACATGTGCGATACCTTCTCATGCAGTCCAAGGCTCGGAGGAAGAAGTCTTTGTGCAGCTGGTGCTCGTCCCTCAGGATGGAGCACTGCTCCAGCGTCACTGACATCGAGGTCCTGTCTTTGGCGCTTTTACAGCAGGTGAAGCGGATACCGTTGAGTTTGCGACAAATCTGCAAGACACAAGGGGAAACGAGGACTCCAGCGCTTCCGTCTACGTCTACCCTGTACAATCACGCACATTGCCTTTTCATTGTTTGAGGTAGAAGGCTGGCTTTAACTTGTTTATTTCTTTGAGTGGGAGGTCTGGGCTATCAACACCACAGACCCCACAGAGAAGGCTCGTGGGGCAGCTGATTCGCACAAATGCCACTCACAGCTCAGAAGCAAGAGCTTGGCTGAAAATTAAGCAAGCCATGTTGTTCTTAGATTCGACAGTTGAATGTTTGCCTAAAGCCTTTTTGAGAGGATCTGGAAGTCCCAGCCCTAGCAGAGGAACTACTGAAATTGATGACTGTTGGGGGCGGGAGGAGCAGTTTACATCATAGCTCTTTATATGCGAGGCTGCTCATGCTCCCTAGACCGCTCTGTATGCATTCACTGAGCAGACTCAGAGGGTTCAAAAACAACACCTGACACTGGGAAGAAAAAGTGGTGGTGAGGGTAGCAAGGAGGAATTAGAGGCAAGTGATTAGAGGTAGATTTGATCAAAACACTTTGTACGCATGTACAAAATTCTCAAATAGTAAAAAAATATTAAACTCGCCTATTGCAAATAAAAAGAATTTGCTGGACTTGAATTTATGTTTCAAAATATCTATATAGATAGAGACTATGTGGCAATGTCGGGGACACTAAACTGGCTACCATTACTTCACATAGATTGTCACACAGCACGGGGTTATAAATGGCTGATAGAGATTCATTCTTGTAACGAACTGAGCATGAACCCTAGTGGAAGCCATGACTACCCTCACTTTACAGTGGGGAAAATGGAAGCGTCTGTAACCGTGTAACTTGTGCACAGCAGAGCAGGAACAGGCTGGAAGTGCAAGTCTGCCTAAGTCCAAACACTGTGTTTTTAGCTTCCGTGTGTCTGGTGTTTCTCAGTGACATGCACTATAAGACAGACAGCAGCCTCTGACCGAGGAGCACCCATTTTCTCATTGTCTTATGCTTAACATGTAGACCCCTCTGCTCCTTTACTGCTAGCCCACGCTGCTTTCTAAGATGAGCTACCAATAATTAACTGCAACATCAGCAATGCCAATCAATGTGCATTTAAGATAAATTGAATGAGACTCAATAACCATCCACTTTATTATTTGTGATCAATGAGGCTGCCTGCCTGGAGAAGAAACATTAATACAGTTTTTATTGGGGTTTTTTTCACTGTATTTTAATTGTAATTTGGTACTTAAATTAAGATTTATATGTCCCTGTTAGTCCAGGTTTTTACTCCCTTCTATTTCCAATAAAAGTAGCTACAGAAAAATGAGAGTATAGTTTTACCATATAATCTCTTTTTGCTTAGAAAATTTTAATTCTTTTAAATAAATTGTATTTCACATTTTCAAACGGTGACTATATTCATAGTAACAAAATCGACCTTAATGGATACATTTGAAATATAGTATTTAAAAGAAGTAATATTCTTTAAAATATATCACTACTTTACCATGTACCTCTCCTGCTTGAGATGTTAATGCCCTACATTTAAAGCCAAGTGGAGGTGGGCTGTGTCTCTGCAGTAGGCAAAGAAAGTCTTGATCTCAGTCTCTCTACGGCTTTTGAATGATCCAAACTTGCTTGTACATACTCAGCATCTGGTTTCTTAAATTTTTCCTTTCATTATTTAGTTAAATAAAGAAAAATTAAATAACTGCGTTTTAATTAGGCTGTGAAGCACTGACAAAGGCAGTATTTCATTAGGAAGACAGAAAGACAGGCAACAGAAAACAGGAATAAAAGTGTTTTGGTACTATCAAGGAGGATTTCCGATTTCTCCATTTTAAGAGTATTATTAAGTTGTTCTGGTTTGAAAGCCGATATTGAAAGTGAGTTTTCAACTTCCAACAATGCTAGGGAATACACAATCAACTGTGAGTTGTATAAGAACCATATGCGATTGGTATAAACACCAGAAAAACATTTTAGAAATAGGCCGGATTGATGGGAAGTTCTTATATATTCATATAGGTAAAAGAAGTTACCGAGAGGAGATATACATTCACGTTTTCATAAAACGATCACTGCTTTATCTTTTCAGATGATTTTATCTTATGTATACAATAAGGTAATGCCATATATATATATATATATATATATATATATATATATAGAGAGAGAGAGAGAGAGAGAGAGAGAGAGTCCCCAGATACTGGAGGATTTTCCAAATGATCAGAATTCCTGGATGTTATGCTTTCAGCAAAATATTCAAAATAGCGTGAGGCTTAACTTAGTGAACCTTTTGTGAGTTGCTAACCACGGTGGTGTCTGAAGACACACGGAACTCTGTAACTGGCGTGGTGCTGAGTGTGAGCAGTGTCAGTGGCCTGTCTGAAAGCAGTGTTTCCTGCTTTGGTTGCCTCTGATGCTCTTCCCAAGCACACCAGGTAGGCACGACAGAAATTTTCCTCTGTCTTCTTCTTGGTGGATTACTTTATGTGGTTGCATGGTAAATTATCCCTTCCCTTTTGTCCAGAAGTGACTAATAACATTGGTAATAGTAGGAAGGCTGATTTAAACGCTTTTGATGGTGCATGAAAAATGTGCGCTGCAGGGCAAATGAACCTGAACTCTGCATTGTGGGAACCAAGGCTCCAATCACAGACTCATCACAGAGGTCTCCAGGGCACCTTTCCTGGTGAAGGTATGCTTTCTCTAAGGAAGGTCCTGGGATCTGAGACTTCAACAAAATTCATAAATTTAATATGAACTCTGGTTCAAGTTGCTGGAAAAGAGCTTTTAAACACAAGCATTAGTCTCTCGTTAATTCATGTAGAAATTGAGGCAGGAAAACAGGCAGATCTCACACCCTGAGGGAGCCATTAAGCACTAGAGAACCAAGCACAGTCAGCTCATTGCCTCGTGGCAATCAATCATCAATAAACTCTGTGCCAATACCTAAACGAACAAACACATTTACGAGCTCATTAACTGAACAATATGTCTGTGAGTCTCAAGTCAGGGATCCCCACAGCTGGAATCACATATCCATAGTGGTAGTTCAAAATTCTGATTGCCATATAACATTGACAATTGTCCACAGCATGGAATACCAAGAGAATCACAGATACTTCTTTCTGACCTCACAGTGACAAGCAAGCCCAAAGTTGGTAAGAAATATGTTCCATGTTGAATTCATCTTTCTCCACCACTACCGAAATGATGACCAGCAAAGCAATGATGCCTTGTTAGCTGGATAATGTAAGATGAAATCTAGGAACCAAGGTACAGACTCAGACCCTGCAGCACGTCCCTGCCAAGGCTTGCTCGTGGTGTGCAGAGAAAAGACGGACGCAGGTGCTTACTGTTGCTGCCAGCCACATGATCTCTACATTCTTTCTTTTTTTGGCTTGAATATTTTGATGGAGACTGTCCAACAATCCTTTTAAATCATTTTGTTCTTGGAAATGTGAAATATCTAAAGGAGAAAACAAATAGAGGAGAAAACCATGAAACAGGGTCAGCATGAAGCAGTTTCCTATGGAGTTTTCTTGCAACATTTCTGCAAACGCAACTTTCAAAACAAGAAATGTCCTTTGGAGGAAAGAATACATAAGGGAAATGACATGAATCCCTTCCATTTTGTCCTTTATCTGAACGTGTGCTTCAGTTTCCTCTCCTCCTCTTCTCTGCAGCTATGGTAACATCAAACTGCCCGAGAAACAACAAGGAAAACGTTTTTCATGAATGTTTTTCTTTCCTGCCACTTAAGTTGGAACCATCTTGAGATCCCATCTCCTTTGGCCACTAAGCAGCTAGCCTGGATCAAGGCCATACATTAAGTTGGACATCATGTGTGAGAGAAATCTGAAACTTTGGCTTGTAAACACAAAACAAGCATCTAAACAGGAAGTTTCCCCCATCTTAATGCTATTGCCATTGTGGGTCAGGTAAGATTCTTTTTTATTTGGGAAGGAACTACTGACTAATATAGGATTTCCAAATGCTTCTGTGAACTGTTCTATTCAGACACCAGAAGCCCTCTTTCTAATTTGACAGTGAAAACTATATCCGTGTATTACCAAATGTTTTTTTTTGTTTTTTTTTTTTTTACAGAAAAAGGAAGAGCCCCTGTTGTCACGTAGCACAGGCGTGACAGGGAAGGGAACGGCACAGGCAATGTCGAATGGCAGGAGAGAACTAGAGAAGAACCAGGGATGAGCTGCTTTTCTGAAGTGTGCGTGTTAGTATCTAAAGCACGGGGAGCAAATGGCCTACACTGCACACTAAAGCTGAAGGCAATGGGTAATTATAGACCAAATGTTCCCAACACATCATGAGATGTGAGCCAATGAAGGAGACAAAAATGCTCCTTACAAACAGTGTTGGATCTGTAACCCATAGTAGGAAAAGGTACTAGGTAGCTCACAAACTGAGGCATGAGGAATTCTTTGAATCCTAGACTAAGCCTAAAAGACAGGAGGTGCGTAAGACCTAAGGTCCAAGTCTAGCTTATTCAGTTATGTACATGGAAGACACTGAGCAGATATTCCCAATCCTAATCATAAAACTACCCCAGATTAGCATTAGTAGTGATAAGAGTTTGTAATTTCTAAGCTTTCACCAGATGCTTCATTAGCCAAACGACATAAGGGAGTGGCCCCGGCACAGTTCCCAGAGAGTAAAGAAAGTTTCTCAGGGAACTATAGAGGTTGTGAAAACACACACACGCACACACGCACACACGCGCACACACACACAGAGACACACACACACACACACAAACACACACTGAAAATGGTCATATTTCATCTCAGGAATCATGAGAACACAATAAAATGAATATTCTTCCATTGTATATTTTATGTTACAGAAAAAAACATGTAAAACATCTGTGTAAAATATGTTCGTGATTGTACTAAATGTCCTAAGTTTCAAAAGTGGAATTTTCATCATGGAACTAAAGCTAATTCTCAAAGAAAAAGTTTGAAGCCCCAAAAGTAACCGCCTAGCTGGGATAAAACACCATTACCAAAAGCAACATAGGGAAGAGTTTGCTTTGCTAAAACTTCTACATTACAGTTTACCACTGAAGCTGGAGGCAAGAGCTGAAGCAGAGATTCTGGAGGAATACTGCTTATTGGTTTGTTCCTTGTGACTTGCTCAACCTTCTTTCTTACACCGTCTAGTACACCTTCTCAGAGTGCTTCGCCACCACTGAGCTGAGCCTCCCTACATCAATCATTAAGAAAATGGATGAACTTTTAGACATGTTTGCTCAATTGGAAGTCCCACTTCTCAAACGACTCGAACTTGTAACATGTTGACAAAAAACAAACAAACCAATAGCAACAACAACAACAACAACAACAAATCAGGTAACATCACATTGTCAGGTAGGCCACTATCAGTCAGACACCAGTGTTTAGACTGACCAATTAGAAAGAAACACTTATGCAGAAGTTATCTGATCATTTTAAGATGATATATATTTTTCAACTGCTTTTTAATCATTTAAAATAAATATGTGTTATTGTAGGACAATAACGTTCTTATAAGAATACAAACAGGAGAGAAAGAATCTAAAGTCTGTGGTACAAAGATGTATTATTAGATTAAACTCTCTGTAATCTAATAAGAAAAACAATTGCCAAGCCTATATTAGGTGTAAGAAAGTGTACTGAGCTATAACACACCAATGAAGGTGCCAGGACTGATGGGAAGAGTGGACAAGACTGGGAGGACAGGCTGGTACAGAGGGCCCTACGAGAAACCTTCTGCGTCTCTAGGAGCATTTGAGGCCAAGGGACAAATAGATAAAGGCATGGGGACTGGTCTGTGAAAGCTGGTGTGTGGTGGCCAACATGCCCCATCACTACCTGGTCCTGAGCTCAGTGTTTTGTGCAGATGTCTGGGTTCCAGCCAGAAAACAAAGGCCATTGCTCACTCACATCTTCAAGATCGCAGCGATCCTTTTGAAGCCAGTTCACTCAAGTATATGCCAACCATTTTTAAACCATTGTAAAATAATACCTTTACTCTAAGGTAAGATAAAGTCTGGAACTGTAACGTAGAATGCTCACAGTTAATTAATGTGTACTTTGTTAAATATTCCATATCTCCTCATACACAAAGGTGGTGACTATGTGAAGTAATAGCTATATTAAGTAGTGTGACCATGGTGATTGTTTCATTATATGTATATTAAACCTCTAAATTTTATTTCTTACATTATAGTCTTTAATTATTAAATATATTTGAATTAATAATTAATGTACCATCCCATGGAAGTTACATATCATACACACACACACACACACACACGTCTTCTCTGTAACAAACTTTGTGTGAATTAACTTTTAATCCTAGAGTGTGCGCTGCCTTATATATATGTGTTTCACCCAATTTAGAAAATTCCAGTTGCAACCCACCAAAATCAAACAATATGAAGACAGAGAATGAATATGAAAATCTTGATTTAAGACAAGGTGCTTGATCAATTGGGGTGTTGGTTGTCCTCCCAAATCGCATAGTAAATGCATGGCTGCCCAGAAGAGTAAAACCTTGTGGGCAGGTGAAAGTGCTAGGGGGCCCAGGTTGGCTCTCACTGGGGCTTCGCGACTCCAGCCTTTTCCTCTTCCTTTCTTTGCTTCCTGGCCAGAATGTGATGTTTCACTGCCTGCCATGTAGTCCTGTCAGGACAGAGTGTCTGCCTTGCTTTAGCAGTCGAGGCCTGGGATGGCCAAGGCAAAGCTGTTGTCCTGGTAGGTTTGTTAGGTGAGTCATTTTCTGACAGCAAACTAACACCGCCTACCCCAGAGTTCAGAAGCTTACAGAGTAGTCTGTGAGCTCCTGCTCCAGAACTTCCCTTCGTCCTATTTGTGCTTGCGCGGTTAGTTGGGGTTTCACAGACAGCTCTGTCATTTTTACAGCAGACCAACGTATTAAGGGTATCTTTACTAAAGTAACTCTTTCTCAGTGTTGACATTTGGGTTCTGAGCAATATAAAAGAGTCTGTGGTAGATGGTGGAAGCCTGAAGACCACCCGGACACGCATGAAATCTTAAAAATATGATGACCTAAACAAAATGAGCGTCATGCCCACACCAACTGACATGGCAACGTTGGTGGGGGAAACTTACCCGGCGTTGCCAGAGATGAAGAGCTACAGGCAACCAATGGCTGCTGAGAGAGGAACAGTTTGGGACTTTTTTGCTTTTTTTTTCTTTCCTCTGGGAAACAACTTCCTCACAGAGTCAGCTCTTAAACTCATGTACAAAGAGGCAACACCAAATGACTCAGTAGTTTGTGTGTGTTGGGGGGGGGGTGGAGTGTTCAGAAAAGGTCTTGAAGTTGAGAGGGAGTAGGGCGCATAGAATAAGCAGGAGGGGCAAGAGGGAGGGTTGGAAAAAGGAAAGCCATTTGAGAACAGTCTACCAGTCTTCTAAATGTGAACCAAGTAACCATTCTTCACCCACTCCTGTCTCAAAATGATTGTTTGTTAAAACACAGCACTCAGATATGGTGTCTCCTAGAAACTCCCCACCTCTTGTGCATTCCATCAGAAAGAAGCCATGCTTTTCTCGTCTCTTTCTCCCCACTCCCTTTCTGTCCTCCCTTCCACTCCCCGACAGTCTTTTCCTGTGTATCTCTGTCTCTTTCTTCCTATTTCTTTCTTCTTTATACACTAGAGGCCAAATCCTGAGCCTTTCAAAGTGCCCTTCTCCTCCAATACTCCATGCCTTCAATTATATCTCTAGAATGACAATTACAAAAATAAAACCATTTTTTCAACCCAATATGTTCATTGGTACCAATTTTTTTCAGCCCGATAAAAATCCAGGGCATAAAACCAGTTCTAATTTGAGAAAGGGTTATCACTAATAATGATTATTTTATTAATTTGTGAAGTTCAGTTATATCATGATCATTGAGAAACATGGGTTTGCTTTCAGTTGACACCATGCTTCCTGAAATGTCCATAAAGTTAATAGATTGTGCTTTGGCCATGTGTTCATGCATTATTTTAACAATAAATTTAGAACCTCTGGGCAACCTTCATACATGTATTCTTTTACTGCTTTTCAAATTGGGTTTTAGAAAGCAATTGGAGGTAAAAGGTGCAAAATACTAATTGAATTATTGTTTATAACATTAAACAATAAAAAACATAAATGTCGATAAAGAGAGTAAGCAAGCTTTTAAGTATTAATTCGGTATGCTGTTACATATACTAACAGATAAAATAAGGAAACAGTACCACACATCTCAACATGGATATCATAAAAACTGTATTAAGCCAGAAAAAGAAATGAAAACAATTATATGATTTAACTGTATAAAACTGTGTATACACACATATATGCATATGCTAAAAATATACATGAGAATTAAAAATAATAAAATTAAGGTGTTGCTTTCCACAAAGGAAGAAAGACTTATGTGTGGAAAAGTTGGAGGCAGGGATCACAAAAGGGG